GGAGGTGAAAATCCGCTGCAGGCAAAGGATCTCAGTAGGCAAAGAGCTTATTAACTGTATGCAAGAACTGTATACAGAATAAGTATCTGAGTGAATACTCAGGTGGTGTTTTATTTGGCCTGTGGAACCTTAACAACGGGGAAACTGGGATATACATGGTCTCGGGACTCTATCGCCCAAATCTCTCTTGCTGGATTACTGATACACATTCTAGTTTTTTAGTCCATTGTCTAGGAATGATCAGCCAATCATTTGTTTTGCAAATCATACGAGGGGTGCAGCGAACAAGGCAGATCCTGGTATTACTGGTAAACGTATTCTTTGATATAATCATACACAATTGAGAGCCTCTGTATGGGCTTGATAGCTAAGCATCTCCAACTTCCAACTGAAAATTTAGCGAAAACAATGGTTGCTGTTAAGAGATGTAGTGACACGAACAGGCAAGACAAAATGTTCACAGTCGAAAAATAAGTTGTGTAGACTTCGTCAGCTTAGAGGATCATATGTTTATCAACTTCTCAGTTATGGTCAAGTACTTAGTGAGACACGGGAATAGGGTAACTATTATCGAGTCATAACCCTAACCTCAGCACTGACTCTGAACTTAGCGTAATGCCCACAGAATAGGGAGGTTTCCATTTTTGTGTCTTCCTAACTACTTATTCAGGTCTGCACTATGAAAGAATGAAACCCTGTTCGCAAGTACTATTTAATTTTCTCGTATTACCCCACCACAAGGCCTGACGATGATTATGTGGAATGTTTTCAGGGGCTAACATTAGATGGGGACTTTATTATTGTAACTTACCACAAATCCGTGTATTCCTCACTACAAGCAGCTCCGCTTGAACCCTTCGCGACTGGCTAAGATTGTATCTTAGACGCCTGTCGCGTAAGTCAACCCTTTTGAAGGGTATTCAAGCGGCAGTGTCCCATTCCTAATGATGCCCCTCGCTTATATTAGTTCCGGTTTTGTGTGTGCCAGGCGTTGGACGATGATCACTTCTC